AAACATAAACCCGTGTATCCTGGAGTCCCTGTGCCCCTTGGAAGGGGTGGGCCCGAGGTTCTTGTCTCTGATGAGAGAGAGAGGACCTGGATCCGTCAAACTAGGGAGAGCAAGGGAAGAGAGATCAGTAATGGCCCGGCACTCCTGAGGACGTGGGAAGTGTTGGACAGTGGAGGACGCCAGCTCCAGCATCCCAGAATAGCCGCTTTGGCTCTGAGGAGGTTACAGTGGCATCAGTAGGCTGCCGTACATGTCGAGAACTCAGTGGACTGAAAGTGGGAACACCCGTTCTTTCCCACGCAGCCGCAGATGCTGAGGGATCATCTGGTCTACGCTGAGCTCAGTGTGGCATGGCTGCAGTCAGTGGGGTGGGTTCAGGTCTGCACCGTGGGTCTCTCAGACCCTTTGGACCTGTGTGACAAAACAAGATACACTATGTGGGCAGCCCTGGCCACCTCACTTACATCTGCAAGCTACTCCTTACCCTTAAAAGGGGAGGCAGGTCTATTCTCAGGGGTGCTGCGGGGTGTCTGAGGGGAAGTATGCAAAGGGGGATCATGCTACCGAGTCTGTAGTCCAGGAAATCTGTCTGTCCCCAGGGGTGCTGTGAGCTGAAAGCCAGGGCTGTGGTCAGCTCTTCTGAGATAAGTGAGGGCCTCGAAGCCTCCCTGAAAAGGAAGCACCTCAGAAACAATGGCCAAGCCTCAGGCAGCGGGGGGCCAGAGAGGAGTGGCCTGCTACCTCTCCAGCATCCCTGAGAGCCAAGTGGTAATGCCTTCACAACCAAGAGCTCCTGGCCAGGGATGGTCCCAGCTCCTCTGCTTGCTTGAAGTCGAGAGAGAAGGGGGTTTCCATCCAGGCATCTTTACACACAGGAAATGCCGGGTGCTAGTTAGGTGTTTGTCAATTTGACAAGAACTAGAGTCATTTGGGAGGAGGGAACCTCAGCTGGGGAATTTTCTCCAGTGGGTTGTCCTGTGTGGAGGCATGTCTGTGCAGTATTGTTTGATTAATGATTGATGTGAGGAAGGCGCAGCCCACTGTGGAGGTGCCACCCGGAGAAAGTGGCCCTGTGTTGTATAAAAAGGGAGGCTAAGGGAGCCATGGAGAGTCAGCCTGTGAGCAGCTCCCCTCCATGGTTCCTGCCTCGGCTCCTGCTTGAGTTCCTAGGCGACTTCCCTCAGCGATGGACTGTGACCTGGGAGTCCTAAGGTGAAATTAACCCTTTCCTCCCCACTAAAATGGTTTTGGTCAGTGTTTTACCGCAGCAACAGAGAAACCTGCCGAGGGCATGCCCTGTGGACTGCAGGACTCTCAGATCCCTGGGAAGAGGACTTCCTGTTCGTGCGATGGAGTTGGGGGTGGAGGGGAGGGGTCTGCTCCCTCATTTCCCCACGTTTCTGGATCCCTCTCGTTATCTAACTCTTACAATAAAGTCTGAGCACAGAACGCTGCTCTCCGGGGACAAAGTGCCCTCTGCCCCGATCGGAGGCACAGCAAGCCGGGGGCTCTCTCCATCCATCGGTAGAGTTCCTTCCTCTGCGTTCCGCTTGCAGGCACCCCTGAAGATCTGAATGCTCCCTGGAAAGGTAGCTGTGGCCACAGCTGCCCCGTATACCCCTCTGCGAGATCTAGGAAGGTAGAGGTGGGAGGCTCAGCCTCTTTGTCATGGCCACTTGAGTAGTGCCTCCCAGTGAATGCCAGCTAGGTTACATCCACCTCAGCAACACTTACCAGGACTTAACTCTGCACTGCTCCAGTGTTCTGGACCCCCATGCTCATGCTAGCTCATGTGCACCTCTTCTGACCCCATGAGATTGGTATAGTTATACCCATTCTACAGGTAGAGAAACTGAGACATTGGGAAGTTGAATAACTTAGTTTTGTTTTTTTTTTTTGTTTTTGTTTTTTGTTTGTTTTTTTTTTTTTCAAGACAGGGTTTCTCTGTATAGTTTTGGTGCCTTTCCTGGAACTCGCTTTGTAGACCAGGCTGGCCTCGAACTCACAGAGATCTGACTGCCTCTGCCTCCCGGGTGCTGGGATTAAAGGCATGTGTATCCACCACTGCCCGGGTGAATAACTTACTTAAGGTCCCACAGACAGTAGAGGAAGCTGCCATTCAAGCCCAGATAGTGGCCTCCAGGGTGCCTGTACTTAACCGCGACGCTAATGTGTCCCTCTGGGGACCTCCCAAGAGTGGCGGATAAACTGAGGCCCAGAAAAGCAAAGTTCGTGTGTGTATCCGAGGCTGGCTTCGTTGTGATGGAACTTAGGGGGAGAGCTCTGGTCTCACGATGGAGGGGACATTCTGTAGGCCATCAGCAGCGGTGGGGGCAGAGGAGGGAAGGGGGAGCTTTGTAGAATACATCTTTTTTCCTGCCCCAGGCAACTGTGCTGCCTGAGCTGAGGAGACGGCAGCCAGGAAGGAAGCCCGAGTGTAGCTTCAGGCTCAGCTGGCTTGACCTGGTCGCCTGAAGCCTTCAGAAGGACAGGGGACAGGGTAGGGGTGGCTCGGGGCAGCCCCACCCCACCCACCCACACCTCTGAGGAAAAGGGCCGATATGGCCTGGGATCAGAGGTCTTCTCTGGGCAAAAGGAGCTGGAACCAGGATCCTCTGGAGAGCCGAGACGCTGAAGAACCATTGCGAACATGTTCTCCAACACCTCAGGGTACAGACGAAGAAACCAAAGCCTAAAGAGAAGGGGTCCCACAGCCAGAGGCATGCTAGGAGTGTGTGTGTGTGTGTGTGTGTGTGTGTGTGTGTGTGTGTGTGTGTGTGTGTTCACACTTGCAAAGTCCCCTAAACATGCCTTTGCTGTCATGAACTGCCCTGGGGCCCTCGGTGCTGCGGCTGGGGAATCACTGTTCCCGTCGGCAGGGGAGATAGGTGCAGATGAGAGATCCCAAAACAGCCTGGGTTAGCCGACTCAGATAAAGCAAACCCAAGGGGAAGTAAGAAGCCCCATAGTTGGGTCAAACTCTGTGTCTCCCCGCCTGGATGGGCGGGGCTGTGCCCAGGGGCAGGTGTGGGGGCAGATTTTCATCCCTGCCCCCACTTCCCACTCTGTCCTTTTCTCTGGCTGGCTAACAGATGTGCATCTTCCAAAAGGAAAATGCTTCCAGTGCTCCGTGTGAGGGATGGCTCTGGGGCTGTCTGCAGTCACCCGGCTGTCCCCTGCATGGCTACCACACCCACAGCAGCCACTGATAAGAGCGCTGCAGCCACAGAAGCAGAGGCCGCCTTGTGATTTCCGATTCAGTTAGGCCGAGGCTGATAAGCCCAGCGGCTGCCGGTGGTGGCCGCGCCGGTCCACGCAGCGGCTGCTGACTCGACCCTCTATCACACACGGACCTTATTCATTCCACCCATCCATTCTCCCAGTCAAATTCATGCATTCCTTTTTCTGTTTGCTTTGTTGAATGAACCAAGTATTCTCTTCACGTGAATGGAAGGGCTAAACCCTGACCGCTGCTACCCCAGAATGTTCGTGGGGGGAGGAGGCAGGCAGGCCTATGGCCTCAGAACACCAATGAAGAGATGCTAGAGGGAATTAATCTTGGTCACATGAAAGAGTCAGAAAAGAAAGTAAGGAGAGGGAGGCAGAGCCAGAGAAGAAATGATACACATCCCTGGAACTGTGTTTTTCTCATGGCTTCCTCTACAAAAATGAGGGTGAGACCAGAACCCAGTGAAGGCCCCACGGAAAAACAAACAAATAAAAACCTGGAACTTCATCCCCCCCAACAAAGCTGCAGATGACAGAAGCCCATCTCAAACACGTTTAATCTTTAAAAAGCAGGGCACTTACTGGGTCACATAGTCGAGCAGGGTAGGAATAGACCAGGCAATGGGTTTTCAGGCACGGCCGGATCTAGGCGCTTACTTTATGGCACAGGCAATCTGTCCCTCTCCAGATCCGTTTGCCAATAGGAGGCGACCATGGAATCTATGACTTCTTTTTTAAAGATCTAAAAATGCGGGCTGGGGATTTTCTTGATTTCAAGTCTAAGAGGGAAGAGGCGGGAGACCAAATGGGGGTACAGGGCCTTCCCCAGTACTCCACTGTCCTTCCCCTGCTCTGACAAGTGCCCCCACTGATCTCTGGCCCCTTCTTGCCATTCCGGCCCCAGATTTTCCTCCTTCCTCATTGACCTATTTTCTATTCTTCCTTCCTGGATGAGATGGCTCAGGAAAAAGATCCGGAAGAGAATCCCATGGTCTGGGTTGGTGTTTTGGTTTGTTTCTTTGTTTTGAGACAGGCTAGCAATCTGTAGCCCTGGCTGGCCTGGAACTCTATATGTAGAACGGGCTGGCCTTGAACTCATAGATATCCACCTGCCTCTGCCTACCAAGCAGTGGGATCAGAGGTGTGCATGGCCAGGCCTGGCAGCCTGGATGGTTAAGAAGCTTCACTAGGTTGTGGAGGGGCTACAGTGAGGAGATAAACACCAGGGTGAGATTGAGGAAAGCAGATCGATTGATCGATCAAGGATGGCTTTGCCATGTCTCAGGACAAAGCTCACAGCATCAGCTGCTGGGATGGGGAAAGCACTATTCAGAGGGCTTGATGTGGTTTAGATGCAAATGTGTGTGTTGTGGGGGGGGTGCTGCGATGACACAGAGTTTCTCTTCTGAGCTGAGAGACAGAGATGCAAGCTTAGTATGAAATAGTTTGATTTGTGCATGTTAGGTGGGAGGAACTTAAAAAAAATCTGGCCCATGATGCCCAGCGTGGGGTGGGACAGAGGATACCTGGACCTTTGGAACACCTAGGCTGCATTACAACCTCATAAGCCTGAGAGTTTGGGTCCCTGTGGAAATACCCATCCTTCTAGACAGGGTTGGTAGTATTAGGTCAGAATGAGGAACCCCACACCCACTTCTTAAAAAAAAAAAAAAAAAACCAGCCCCAGCAGGATATGCCTGGGAGGGGCTTTGAGAGCCATGAGGAAGGGGAAGGGGAAGGAAGGGGAGGGACGGGGCTGGCTATGTGGGGCAGAGCATTCTCTGCAGATCTGGAGCCCATAGTCAGAACTACAGCTCTTGTTGGCTCCTTGGGGACATCTGGTCTCCTGGAGCTGTTGGCCTCCTGGACGGGACCTCAGGAGCTCATTGGCTGGAGGTTCTGGGACCGGTGAGCAGCTGCAGTCCAGCAGAGGTAGGTGCTGGCTGGGGAGGAGTCGGGGAGGGAGTTGGGAGAGACAGAGTTGAACCAGATGATAGCCAGGGAGGAGAACCCTGGAAGGAGGAACCTCAGGAACCCGTGTCTCAGAAGGTTTGTCTTGATGTGACCGCTAAGAGCCCCTGCCAGCTACTTCTGTTCAACCTGTTTTCAGATGCAGAGGGGACCCCTTGAACTCCGTACCTGCTAGCTCTAACAGAGCTAATGCCCATGGTGTGTGGACGCGACTCTCCCGGCAACTTGAGGTTGGCTGGGTTAGCGCTTTACTGCCCATCTTAGCTTAGGTTAGGAATAGAATGGGGCCTCAGGGAAGCAAATTGCAGAATGGATGAGTGTGCAGGAAGACTCCCTAAGAGAACCCCACACCTCTGTCTATGCTGCTTCTGGGACAGGATCTGTCCATCTCACTTCTGGGTACTTAGCGACTGTCGTGCTGGGCGGGCTGTTGCTGCACACACACACACACACACACACACACACACACGCACGCACGCACGCACGGGTGGGGGGAATCTGCTCTTGAGATGTTGGCCTCCAGCCTTGGGTGTGTGACAGGTAGTAAAATGCACTAGGTCCCTAGTGAGACAAGACTTGGGGGTACGGAACAGGCACGGGGAGGGTGAGGTGAGGCCAGGGTGAGGCTTCAGAGGCAGAGAGGGCTTGTGGGTAGAGGCGAGGCCCAGGAGCACCCCTGCTGGAGGGAGCCCAGTGTGCCAACCCCAGAGGCAAGATAGTGGGTGCATGTCAGGACGAGAGAGCAGAGAGCTGGGGACTTGGGGACTTGGTGTGGCGAAAGGGTGTACAGAGTTGTGGAGGACTCCAGCGTGGGCCTGTCCTCATGTGTTGATTTAGCTCCGGGCCGGTGTCATCTGTCACCTGGCATAGTCCTCCTGTCCATCCTATGTGACAGGTGCTGTGATGGTGACTCCTTTAAAGATGAGGAGGGCTGAGGGTGTAGTTCAGTGGCAGAGCACCGTGCCAAGCATGCACAAGCCCACGGGTTCCATCCCAGGCAACGTGAATAAGCAAATAAATAAGTAAAAGTACAACACAGAGGTGTAAGTCGTTCAGACCAAGAGCCCCAGTGACGGAACAGGTTAGACCCCAGTGACAGAATAGGTTAGACCTCCAGGCAGTGTGGGTTAGGATGCAGGGCCTCACCACCCCTCAGAGGCCTGCTGCAACGCCCTCACGCTGTTTCCAAGACATCTGGCCACGACGTGTGAAAGGTACACAAAGATCAGTCTTCAGTTCCTGTGGTCCTTCAGCATCCAGGACCCTCAGATCCTCCCAGGCTCCAGGAACAATGTCACTGCCCTGACTGCTCTGTCCCATCCAGGTGTTTCCTTCTAGCCCAGGATAGACACCCCGAGGAAGTAGGCCTGCAGGCCTTCACAGAGCCGTCCAGGGAGGCAAGGTCCTTAGGAATCTTGAAAATCCTGGTTGGCTCTGTAGGGCCGAGGCGGGGTGGGGGGTGG